CTGATGAGGGGCAACTGATGAACGATGCAGTGTTTTGTTTTTATCGCTTCACATACTTTGGTGTCCAACCGGTGGGTAGACACAAACAGAAGCCACACGGTTGCCCTCAGGCGGTACGGATGAAAGGTGGCGCCATTTGTCACTACGTTACCTCCACTAGCTAATGGAATATAAGTCTTGGCTATGGCAGGAAAGGATAAAGTACCCAAATTTTTTTTACATCGACCTTGGATTGTTAAAGCATTTACCGACCTCACGGTTCTGTGTCGAATTAGTGGTTTTCTTCACAGCCTCCAGACCGGCTTCAGCTAGATTTGGCGTAGAGCCGTGGAAAGTGCGACTGAGAGGCTGAAATATGATCTTTCAATCAAGTAACATGTTGGAGACCCTGCTCCAAAACATTGTTTGTTTAGTCAACTGTTTTGCTTCTCTGCGCTAGACTGTACTGAAAACATTGAAAAGAGTTAATAAAAGATCATGAAGTCGGGAAAGAGAGTTAAATAAAAGGTCATGAAGTCGGGAAAGAGATGGAATAGGGCTACTGCTTACCTTGGCTGGAGCATCAGGTTGGCTAGCCTGAAGTGGCATACTCTTACGACGTTCCTTGCGTAGTTCACGTTCCGCAGCTGACGGTTTGGCACGACTTCGTAGATATTGTGAGAGCGCTTCTTGCGCCGCCTATGAAGAACAATCTCAGAGTCGTATTGTAACGTAATGATTGGTTGCACCTGGCCACCCTACCTGGAGCACTTGCGGATCGGAGCAGCAGAGTTTAAGCATGCCGTCGTGTGTGGTCTCGATAGAAATGTCGTTCTCGTTCTCGTCCTCCTCCGCTGGTGAATCGTGACCGCTTGCTTCGGCCTGGAAAGGCTTTCAGAATTCTTCAGATATGGAATGATTTGATGGATTGCTTACTCTGATTGGGCTCATGTTCCTCCTAATTGTATCGATGATAAGGTCCTTGGCTCTATCAATGTCTTCCATCGACGACGCAGTGATTGTCAAGGTTCTCTCCTTGCTCTTTGGATCCACCTGTGATACACACACGTTGTTGCTATACAAACTGATGGATATTTCTTTGATAGCACCTTTTTGTGGGTCTTTCAAAACCGAATTCCTATCAAAGATTTGTTTCAGAAAGGATAGAGCATTCGGCGTTGATCGATCTCGTTGGGGTAGGCACCAGGCATCCCAATTCTCTTCAAAATCGCAGTGGCATTTCGAATTTATCCTCTAGACCTACGACAACTTGAGGGTGAACAAGTTAGTACTTACTCTTAGTCTGTGAGACATGTCTGATGCCACTGAACTGGTGACATGGCATGGAAGGCTCGTTTGGTTTGGCTGCTTAGCATCTGAGCTAAGCTAGGAGTCTTGTTCAGCCTGAACTCAATGATCGCGCCGATGAAAGCAGCGCCAACCTACCAGTAATAAATCTTTGCTTCAGGAATAGCACACAGGATGCGAATCCCGACTTCGTTCATGGATTAGCCATGGCTGACTTGACGAATGTCCTCCTCTTCTGATTTTTTGTCCAGTTTTCCATTCATCGTATTGGTGACATTAGGTCCGGTATCTAGCAATAGGATTTTCTGCCCAAGTACGCGCGGAAGGATATACGGATATGTGAATCAAGGAACGAGCTTATAAAGTTATTGATCAATCACTCAGCTAGACGCTGATAACGAGCAGCTAGTCACTCCTCCACTTCCCCTCCCCCGCCTTCTACTCTATGAGCTTCCCGCCGGAGCGCAAACTCGCCAAAATCAAATTTAACGTGATAAATACTGACTCCTGGGCACGAGTGTGTTACAGCAATTCTACAGGACCAAGTTCACCTTTGCAAACTTCCTTTTTTTTTCTTGGGTCTTCCCATATATGGGCCGCTAAAACGTTTAAAAACCGGTAAGTTGATACCTTTTGGAAGCTGATTACGGTATTGGTCATCTGTTCCACAAGAGCCACACGTCGTCCTTTCACACCCATGATTTTTCCTGAATCACTGTTCCGAATGATCATCTCATGGCGTAGCTGCAGGGACTTTGCCTGATTCACCTGAAATTATTAACATTTCGTTAATATTGATGTGCCTGTTGAGTGGGTAAAAGTATTTATTCAACGGCCTGGAGTATCACAGATCGTCATCTTCAGTGGATCAAAGTGTTTCGAGTTCTGGAGATGAGCACTTCCTCAACAAGGACCCAATTCCTCAGCAGTTGTGATGCGTGCTTGGAACTTAGCTGAGAATCCGACGCAATACAAAAGTACACTCAGCAGGGTTCCAATAAAAATCGAAATACCTGAATTCTAACAATCACTACGATTTCCTTAATAAAAATCTTTCAAATTAAGGTAATCAATCAAATGAAAGAAACCACATCTCGATAGTCTTGTATTCTTCATATCAATTTATTATTTCGTGTTTAGAACAACAGTTGCAAAACTGAAGAACTCCATCAATACCCATGGTAAAACGCCAACACCTAGCAGCTGGCAAATGTGATTTTTACGCTCTGCGCTCAACTAAAAACCTCCGGCATCAACTTGGAACAAACGCATCGAAGTGAGCAGACACGATTCATCGATTTTCACGAAATATTGCAGCCACAAAAATAAGTATGTAACGCTGATTTTTTAACAATTGCCTGCCAAATGCTTTAAAGGCAATTCCCGCGACCACACTTCATAGGTAATACAGTTTAAAAATAGAATGGCCCTGTGATGTTGACTCCAACCCCGTTGAAGAAGGAACAACGAAAAAACGCCCGCCAATATCAGCTCTTTATTTCAACTTTTCATGATCACCAGACGAGTGTAAGGTGGTCAGATCATTGTGGATGGCAAAGGCGGCGAGAACTGATAAGAGACGAGAAAGGCCAGAAAGACGGCGCAGAGACGCAATTGCAATGGCACAACTGACATGGTCACCGGACCGATGGGCCTAGTCGGGCCCAAATGGCCTAAAACATGCAGCGTCGGCGTTCTGTTCAAACGGTTGAAAAGCAGCAGACTCTACTGTTGCCTGCTTGATCATCATGCACGTTTATATGGTTCTAGCCTTAGTTTATCGCGGAACGTGCCTTTAAGTACTGCACTGCCTTGCACAGCATAGGTAAAGTACGCACTGCTTACTAGCATAGCGACTTTCTGATGAAACAAGACCTCTTTGGACAAATGAACACAGTTGTAAATTACGAAATTTCTCAAAATTTCTCCCTTTTATGGGACGTATCCTCCTCTCTTCCATTCCAATGTCCTTCCTATCTCCTCCATAAATAAAACTCCCAAACTCGAACCACCTTCGAAATTACCATGAGTGAAGATCCATGGTTCTATGAGCGAGAATTCACGACAATCGAGTTCTAGTTTCCGAAATGCCACTAAAATTCAATCGCCAATTAGCTGTGTTCAGACTTCGCAAAGATGCGCACCGACGTTGTAATGACGCTCCAGTGCTGCAACGAGTTAAGGCAGCCTTGGCGGTATTTATCGGTGCTCGGCCACTGCCACGTAAGATAGAAAGGTGCTGCAGTGCGTAGTGGTAGCAAATAGCAATGCTGCTATTTTATAACGCCTAATCACTTAGTCGGGTACCCTCCTATTCTCTTACACTATCTTAAGTGTGCGAGCCGACCTCCGTCTATGGCCAATCATCTATGGCTGCATTCCCATGTGTAGCACTGTGGACGACTGGCAACAGTAGCGTGTCGACGCGAGTCATCGCAAAGTCTGAACAAGTCTAATGTGTTCTCTTATGTGCTTCGTTTGTTCTTATGTGTTACTAATTTGTTACCAGGCACACCCCTCACACAACAATAATAATCACGCAGTCCCTCACAGAAATATCATATCTGGAAAGTCCTACTCTCGTTTGGAATTAACTCTAAGATTTTAGTTCTGCAGAACAATCCTTCTGTCGCCGTAGACAACCTGCCTACTTCTTTTCAGATGAACTGAACAAAGTGTTCGTGTCGCTTCGACAAGCCTGCTGTCGAGACAATGGACAACTGGGAACGCCTTGCACCAGTCGCTTTCATTACAATCCATTTCATTTTCGGCGCACATCGAAGCACAATTCACTAGTACGCGAGAGCCATCAACCAAAGCGGATCAGAAAGCATTTCATGGCTGATCTCTGTAAGAAGGGAAAGAAAAGGAGAGCGGCACAAAGAAAGGAGAAAGGAAGTAAAAAGGGGAAAAGAAGAGAGGTGAAGGTGGAAGTGGCACCCGACAGCGTCGTTAGGACTGTACAGCTATAGCACGATACGTAATCAAAAAGAGGTTCTTTAAAGGAACTAAAAGGTAACAAGGGTGGGAAAACTGTCAATTTCAAAGCTTCGCATCAAAAGTTTTTGCCTCTTCGCATAACCGTACATGCCAACAACCGTACCACCCGATCTTCTAAACATCTCACATAAACTAAGTTGGGCGCTCCAGTGAGGTAAGAGTCATTCGTGACCTTACTATAGTATTCCATTATCGACAATTCGAAAATTAATCATGAACCAGTTTAGTTTCGTTTGCCTCTTGGTGCGAATGCCTTGCTTGGGCGCGTAAGAAAATCTTCGAGTCCTTCTATAACCATTTTGAGCCTTTGTCCAAGGAAAACCAATTATTCTTGACATACATTTCGCAAAAGATCTCCTACTCGGCTGCTGTCTTTTCAATTGAAACAAAAACGGGGGTTTTGATGTTTTTTGACATAGCCTCACTCAAAAAGTAACAGCAAACGAGCTCTCGAAAAAAACAAGCACACTGGTCTACAGAGCCAAAGAGAATTCTGATACCTAAACTATATAGAAACACTTTAGCTTAAACCTGTCACTCCTTCTGAGGCGAAAATTTGAGTAGAGAACCTCATGGCCTGGTTTTACCCATGGGCCAATCCATACGAGGCCCAAATTATGTAATCAAGGAGAGTACTGCACCTATAGAATACTGTCGTATACAATTGCCTATTTTCATGTGCAGGCTAAAAATTATGGAGCTTGTGGAACTACGTGCGATGCACTGGCGGAGCAACCTGGCACACAGCCAGTACTATCTCAAACGTCCTGAACAACGCGTAAGTGCTTTTTCTCAGAAGAAGATGCAGAAGAAAATTTAGACAGATGCTTACTCTAAATAACTGCTAAAAAATCGATCTAAGAAACGTGATAGCAGTAGTGGAGCTATTATTTCGTGGGATAATTTCATTTCGAGACAATCGTAATCACGTCTTTGTCCACTAACGAAGAAGATGACAGTTGTCTTGAACTGAAATAATTCACGAGTAACCTCAGGCCGTGGTCAAACGCCACGCCGACCACATCATGCCATAAAACGAGTGTGACGCAAAATATTCATTTTCAACGTGAGAACGTTCTAGTTCAAAATTCTATTCTTCGAAAGCGATCCCGGGATACTTCATGTCTCAGAACTCCTCCCCGAATCGCCTCAGAATATTACTTGAGCTTCTTTCTTTATATTCCAGTTGCTAAGCCACTGTCGGCCTTCCGGTATTTCTCTAATGCACACCCCATTAATCGCATTACGGACAGGTATAAGGGTTTGCTATAAACGACAAAGCGTGGAGTAAACGATAGTGAACAAAAAAGAAAAAAAAACATGCCAATCCGCCCCTGATACATTCCCCTTTACCAGTTTCGATACCAGTTGTGCGTGCCCTACTGACTTTCTCAGTACTGCTACTCCATCCGCACAGCTGATCCCCTTATGACACCTTCACGGCTGCACAAGAGACGACTTTCATACTTATTCGCCCTACAGCTTAGTTTTTCCACTCAAAGGCAGGCCTCAGGAGGAGTCACTGAACCCATATTGCGCTATAACGCCCCTCCCTTACGATTTTTTGCCGCTGGGTTGCTCGTCGTGGACCGCATTACCCTCCCAATATTATATTTTTGGCCTCTATACCTAATCGCGGACCGTGCCTTTAACGAAAGGTGTCGGAGTATGTCACCGCGATGTTTTAGCTGGGCGTATGACAGCAGCCTCAAGGCTTCATTGGATAGAGCCGTCGTCATGATCGTGGCAAACACAACCTCTTTCCTTGCTCGAAACTGAATTGGAATTTTTAAACACATTACTTTAGCTTCACTTCAGTTTGCCTCAAAAAAAACACGTTTTTCTATTCCTGGATAAAATGACATTATTTCAGAGCAGGAGCCGCCTGTCACCCCGCAGCCGATGACGTTTTTACCACAGAATCCTCTATTCATGCCGCCCGAAACGCCACCAGCAACACATCGTGAGCAAACCTATTCAATATGTTCCATTCTAGAAAAAGAATATTCAGCTTTCCAATTTCAGCAACAAATGCCGGCTTTTATTTGATTCCCGCATCGGGTGGTTGGATGCCGCCAATGATTCCTGGTATACCACCAAATCCATTCATCCACAGCCCCTCTCACACCTTGATGCTTAACTATACAGTCAACGAAGTTTGAACAAAAAAGTGCCCTTTTCTAGTTTCACCTAAAACCTTATGAAATCGATCCTATAGACTTATCTTTTACCTACTTGTCGATTATTCTCATCTTTTTTGATCGTTTTCGATGCTGCTAATCGCGCCTCCCTCCGTGATACAGCCAGGTTTCGTCAGGCGAGTGCGCTTCGCAAGCTTATCTTCTTTTTAGAATACTAAACCAATACCCTACTTCTCTCTCATCTGAACACCTGTACAACGGTCCTGAACGACAGCTCATATCTGCTACTTCGCCCACTATTACCGCTCTCTTAGAGTTGTAAGGGCTGATCTAGTGCACAGATGACAGAAAAATAAAGTGTTAGTTGAGTACCTATCACAAAAGAAATACCTCATGCTTGAGGGCTTGCTCCGCCCACAGCGGCGCGATCTCATACGCATCACAGACCACAGCTTACCTCCTCTCCCAGTAATTTTTTCGATCTCCAAACCATCAGGACCGACTTACATAATTTCAAAATAAGCACTGCTCGTCTCGAATATGCCCCACGCATTTTGAGGATTTCACCCCCACTTCTACGCCAATGTGCTGACCTCAATCTACTTTCATCCGATGTCTGGGGTGCTCTAGAACTGTGTCACAATATTTTGCAATAAGTATTGAAAGCATGCTCCACCCACTGTAGGCGGGGTCTCAGCACCAGCCCAACTCCTGCCAGATGTTTCTCTTCTCCACCGACTTTCTCTCCACAACCGAGTTAGTAGTTATCACGAGAATGCTGAGTTATGGGCAAAAGTCGGACCACCCGACGGATTCGAACCGCGTCTTGCTGCTTACCGGGGCAGTTGCTTCTCTATACACTACCGAGCCACGTTTGACCACTCAGCTCAATGGCTATTTGTGCCATAGCCTTACAGCACTCACACGTTCAACGTGATGAGCCGGTTAGCCGATATCGGCAGTGAACCGCAAGGCTGAAGGCTTTTTACAAGTTTCAAGCTGTTATTGTTTTGATAACTGCTGTTTAACGCCGCAGTACGCGATCCGAAAGCTATCACAAGAATGCTGAGTTATGGGCAAAAGTCGGCACCCCCATAACTCAGCATTCTTGGATAGCTTTCGGATCGCGTACTGCGGCGTTAAGACAGTTGCTCAAACATAACAGCTTGAAACGATTAGTAGTTTCTGTGCATGAGTGCCGCCTATCTCAAATATGCCCTGTCCATTTTGGTTTCGTCTCCTCCACTGATCTCTCACCCACTCCACTTTTCCCAACCCACTCCACATTTCCCCATCTCTGACATTCGTTGAAACGAATTATCCTACTATATACAGGTGGGGGCGCCAAAAAAAAAGTCCATTTTTTGCCTCCATGACTTTCAAGGCGCTATAAGTTACACTTTATCAAACTTTTATCGGACATTTTTACTACCATATTAAAGAGCACATTAAATACTATAATATACTCGCCATAGCCTTCTTGGAGAGCCCATCGAGAGATTCTGGCACGCAACCGCGATGTGGTCCTGAGATCAGCGAGATAGTCGATTTCTCCGCCACCGTAGACCACCCTATTGAACTCCGCCCGAACCAGTAATTGAGGGGGTTTAGTTCAGGACCCCCGCTTAAATACTCCACCTTTTCCAGGTACTCAACGATCTTCCATTCCAAGTAGGCGAAAGTTTTTCCAACGCCCTTCGATTCCACGTGGTGGCACCCAATGTTGTAGCAGTACAAAGTTTCCAAGAAGGTACGGGCGACCACATGTGGGGTGGATATTCTTCTCGAGTTACTTGATGTAACCGCCAGCGCTCACCTTCAGTCCGGGTCTACAAAGAAAATATCGGTCTTCCCATTCCAAGTACGGCCGGTCCACACCATCAACCCGCCGCCTTGGTAATGGGTGAGAGATGTCCTGACCGTAGCGACGTGCCGGAGCTGCTCGATGTTTGGGGTCTTGCAGATCAAGAGTACTGTCTCCAGGTAGCTATCCATGGGTGATTCCATTCAAGAATTCCCAGCTTTTGGAGCCACGTAATCTCAAAGGCGTTCTCACTCAGCCGACTGGAGATGACTTCATATTTTGGTGTACATGAAGGTGAATGGCGGCAGCCGGCTCCTGCTTATAGAGAAGATCTTGGGTATCTTCCGCCCTGGTACTCATATCCACTTCCTCTGTCTGGGCTGCGAAAACTTCGCTCATATGTGACTCGGCCGGAATGACTTTTTTTTGCCCCCCCTGTATATAATCCGCTAAGTATGTCTGTAAGTGTGTGTGTGTATTTGTGTTTTGTTGCGTCTGTCTTGTGCTTGTCCTACGAAAATTCATTAACGTAGCGTCGCAGAAAAATAGACTACAGCTCCAAGAACGATATTACGTGGCAAGGACGGGAACACTTGTTGGGGATTAGAAGTGAGAGCCACCTGATAAGATTCGATAAGGGCCTCAGAAGGTGAGTCTGACGAGCCATTGTGCGGACACTAGTAACAGCGGACATTGTTCAAGTGATGATCATAGACTTGCACAGGAATTATTGATGGTGACAGGGAATGAGAGCACCTGATAAGATTCGATAAGGGGCCTTAGAAGGGGAGGGTGACCGAGCCCATAGTGCGGGACACAGTAACAGTGGGACATTGGTTTTCCAGTATGAATAGGACCGTGAGACAGGAAAATTATTGATGTTGTGACAGGGAATCGATAGCAAGTATAGGATTGATAGAGAGTTAGAATGGAGGCACCTACTAATAACGCAAACACAGCATCAGCAGCATATAATTTCAGAAAATGATATAGAGTTGGTGGGGGACACGGCACGTGAGGTGATAACAGCTGATAGGGGCTGATAAGGAACGTTGCCAATGCTGTTCAGTCAAATTGCTGGAGCCTTTACACTACCAAATTATAGAGTTTCAGTGATAGGGACATTGATGACGGGTGACAGGATCTTATCAATCGATAAGAAACGATAAGGGGTCATTATCATTACCTCTTATCACTATACCCCCAAGTATCAAAGGCTCAGTGTGCATACTTTTCCTTCAGCCATCACTTCCCTGATAGCCCTAGAAAATGAACTCATCCTACTATATAATGTCGATGTCGACGAGCGGGGGGGGGGGGGGGTATGTAGTTCGCCTGAAACGGGAATCTCAGGGAAATTTGAGGAGAACCGAAAAACACTTCAACGAGCGGATCGCATGCTTAATGAAAGGAAAGCGTTCGTTAGGCATTCCGGTGCAAGTAATGGAAACGAAATCTGCTATT